GTGCTGGGGTCTGGTATGGGCTCTGGTCAGGTGCCTCCTTGCTTGACCAGTTCTTACAATCCCCTCCGGCTCAGTTATTCACCCGCCTGGCCAGCCATGTTTCTGCCTAACAGACAGCACATAATAACAACAACAACTATATATACATATAGTTGTTGTCATGTGCCATATATATATATATATAATATTTTGTCCTTTTGTTATTGCCTTATTTCACTTAGCATAATAAAAACTCATCAATAGTCTTTATGGCTGTGTAGCATTCCACTGTATGTATGTACCACATTTTGTTTATTCATTCTTCTGTAGATGGGCACTTAGGTTGTTTCCATCTTTTTGCTATTGTGAATAGTGTTGCAAAGAATATAGATACATATGACTGTTCATGTCACTTCTATTAGATACCTAGGGTATATACCGAGGAGTAAAAGGAAGTTCTATTTCTAGTTTTTTGAAGTAGCATCATACTGTTTTCCATAGTGCTTGAAGTATTTTACAATCCCACCAACAGTAGATAAGAGTTCAGAGATAATTCTGTTTTTATTTACCATCCAAGCTCCCCAAGCCAGCCCTATAAACACATTCATTGCTAAAGAGTCATTAACATTCAGTAAAGTATTAGTATTTACCGCATTCAGAGAGACACAGACCCACCTAAGCATGAACATGAAATGATTGCCATACACAAAACATGATTCAGTCTACTTTAAGAAAAACACTCTCTGCATTTAAAAACCATATGCTTTTTTTCTGGTGTTCTACAGTTGAGCTTTTATTGTTCTCAATAAATATATTTTAATTTTCATATGATTTATCAACAAATCTATTAAGATTTTAGGATTCTTGCAAATAAAATAATACATGGAACAGGTGATCTTCAAGATCTCTTCAAATCTTGATTATATGGTTTTTCTTCTAAGTGTTCTCTGGCAAGAATTATGTCTATCTTCAGTCATGTCAATTCAGGAACAACCACATTCAAAATGTTCATGTTTAAGAATTAGATACTTGACCCCTATTTTCATCTCATCTATTCTCTAGAATAAAACAAAACAAAAGACTTAAATCCTATCACATTTTAGTTACTTTAAGTTGCTTTCTGTCTTGATGGTGTAAAAGAGTAAAAGAAATGATAATTATGAAAATTTTGCAATTTCCTATTTCTAGGTTTTTTCACTAGGCAATAATCCCACTGAATTTCCAAATAGTTATGTTATATAAAGTTGTATAAAGTCACCATAAACACTGAATTCGTAAATATTGAACCACTGCTTCTAGAGGAAATACAGACTTAAGATTCCTGCAAGCCTCTGGTCATAACATTTTTGTCAACTGATCATTACATAACCTTGTTTTATGTGTGTTTCTGTTTAAAGACATCTTACTTAACATACATTCTTGATTCATTAACACTGAACTCATGGCCAATAACTCATGCCTAAATGAAGCTTATCTAACACATGCATTTTCCCCATAAGGCACATTATAGCCTTCTTGTGCTTAAGAACACTAGGCAGTGCTTCAGCACTGTGTTTGAGGGCCACTTCAAACAAAGAAGTTACAAATAAGCACAAAAATGCAAAAA